GCTAATTTTGCCCTTCATGACAACTGTGAGGGGGGTGAATTTTTTTATAACTCATCCGTTTAAATTATATTAAGCCTTAAGTTTCTGCATAATTAAGGGCGTGGCCACTTGAGTGACAGGTGGATTGCCGCTGCTGTCACCGGCGTCGAGCTAGGTGGGCGTGGCTTCAGCAACCTGCTCCCGCCTCTTTGCCGGGAGTGACACGCTGCCAAGATGGCGACGGCCGGCTCCGCAAACTTTGAGCTTCAAAAACGCTCTTCAGAAACCTACAGGTGACGTCACGGACACTACGTCCATGTTTTTATACAGTCTATGTCCATGACACGCTTTACTTCCGCATTCCTCAGTTTCTATGGAAGCCTATGGGAGTGTCGCAACTCTGTTTCTCAACGGCTCTGGGGGTGAGGTCCTGTTGGGGTATGGGCGTGTTTGTTTTGGTGCTTTCAAATATCAACATCGTTTGGCAAAAATCACTTAGTGCACCCTTTAGGTTTACCATCATAGAGTGAAAGTTTATAATTTGCACCTGTTGAATGGCACGAAACACTGAATTGATTCCTCTTTCACGTCTCTTTGCTGTTGTCAATAAACACACATGACGATGGTGCTGCCACCGACGTTTCCGTTCTCTGTGCGTGTATGTGCTACGACTCCTGACCCCGGGGTCCTACGAGGAGCTGGTAGCTGCATCAGCCTGTAGCTGTAGGCATAGTGATCGTATACTATCGTCTATGACAGAGCTGGTGATTTTTCTGGACTGAACTGACAGCTTGGTCCCGCCCAGTTAAAAAATCCCATCTGCGCCATTGGTCAGTCAGACAGATAGTCCCGCCCCAAACTCATGCGATTGGTTGAGTCAGAAGTTGACATGTCTCAAATGAACACATCAATGTTCTGAAAACTTCAGTTTCACTCTTCAGGACATCGAACCACCAGTGACTGACTTACACTCGGAGCATGAAACTGACACACCACTAACTAGCTGGACATCTCAACTTTAAACAGGTTTGCACAGATTAACGTGTTGATGGAACGATGACAGGGAAACACGGATGCAGTTAAAGGCCTCGTTTGAACCGTCCGAGCAGAGAGCGGCGTCTGACTGTATTCTGCTGCTCTCGTGTTGTTTGGTGCCCTGCGGATCTCTGCGCTGTCTTTCTGCTGATTAACTGTCTGTCTGCCTGTCAGGCTTGTCTGAACAGATCCGGACTGTAAAGCTTCTGCTCAATACTAAGCCATTTCATTACAAAAATCCTCTGAACACTTTCCTAATTCTCTAAAATACATGACATACGAGACATTTTCCTCTTATTTATCTGTCGCTGTTAAACATACTGCTTTACCACATCATGACAATGACTTTTGCTTTTCTCTCCATTCATCTGCTGGAATTCAATGAACTTCAAGATTAAGGGTTAGAAGACATCTAACATCTCAGCTTCACCGTCTGTTCATTCAGTGTCCCATCCAACAACTGAAGAACCCACGAGCAACGCTCTCTTCACCTGACACACCTTCACCAGACGAGGTCATCTCACAGACTTCCACTGCTTTTATATGCACTTAATCATAACGATTAGACTAATACAGTACATATGTATACACAGGCACATAACCTGTTTATTTATTGTTTTTCTAATTGAAAACGTCCAAAACATGCCTAAAGTATAACCAAATAAACACACACAATCCTGTATAAAACAGCCGTATGAGGAAAAATCACTGCTGAACAGAAGAAATGCGTGACACACTGAGAGAACTGGCTGCAGCCGTTTACAGCTCAATAAACTGCAGATATGATCCATAATCATCAGAGTTCAGATTGTTTATCTGGAAACAGCCTCATATCAACAGCTCCTGTGTGTGATCACAGATACAGTAAAACACAGGAGCTGCAGCGACACACAGCAGAAATGATGATGAAGAACGTCATCCTCACTAACAGCACTCTAGATGTTCACAGCTGGTTTGATGACATCATCAGCAGGCGCCAGGCCTCAGGGGCCCACAGTCACATGGAGTGAAGAATGAGAGAAACCAGTGTGTCCTCATGACACTCACTCTCACACACACACTAACACACACAAACACACGCTCACTCACTCACACACACACACACACACACACACGCACACTCACACACACACACACTCACACACACACACACTCTCTAACACACACACAAACACACACACAAACACATGCTCACTCACTCACTCACACACACACACACACACACACACGCACACTCACACACACACACACTCACACACACACACACTCTCTAACACACACACAAACACACACACAAACACATGCTCACTCACTCACTCACACACACACACACACTCACACACAAACACACACACAAACACATGCTCACTCACTCACTCACACACACACACACACTCACACACAAACACACACACAAACACATGCTCACTCACTCACTCAC